GGGGGGTGTGAGAGGGGGTAGTAATTATGTCAGAGGTAAGACCTAGACCAGAAGAGTCAAATTTAATTAGTCAAGAGATTCATTTTAAAGGTACCAGGCAATACTTAACAGCAATAGAAATCAGCATTTACTTAAAATCTTCTAAATGCAAAAAAATTAATAAGATAGAGAAAAATGCTTCTGTAGGACAGAAAAAATCTCAGGAGAACAATGTCACCAAACTAACACTCACCTTTAGGAATTAGGTATTTTAATGCTCAGAGTTGGAAAATGTTTCAATGTTATGACACCTGCTCTTACAAAACTCTAATGTTGATAAAAACTAATTCTTATCTTAAAAATAGAAAACTGATCTTTAAATTTCAAATAATTAAAAAATAAATAAATAAATTTCAAATAATTTAAAAAGTTTATTCAAATTTATCTCTGAATCTTACTTGTTTATTCAGGGTGCCTTTGCCAGCTGTATCAGCTAAATCCCAAATCTGAAAATTAGAGGGAAAAAAAAGAGAAACCTTATTTTTAACAGAAATCATCTTAAAAATTGATTAAATCCCTGCACTATACAGTCTCATGTTCCCTAGAGTCAGATTAAGAATAGTGGAATTAAAAGTGACTAAACCCTAAAAAATTATTCAATGTGATTCATCAAAAAGATATTATAGCTCTATGAAGTTAAACGGGACTCGACTCTAGAATATTTAAGACATCAGAGAAAGAAATGCAAGTTCCAACTTCCAGTCAAATGCCTTTTCCCCAAATCTTGGTCCTAAGGCTAAATCAAATGTCAGGGCTGGCCAAATAGCTCAATGGATTAAAGTGCCTGGGCCGGGGTTTGATCCCCAGGCATGCCGTACTGTTCCCACCCCTGGGGTGCACTGAGATGGCAATCAGACTGGGCAGTTGAAACTGGGCATGGTGGCGCATACCTGTAATCCTAGCTCTTAGGAAGCTATAAACAGGTAGATCATTAGGAGTCCCGTCTAGTAGTGAGACCCTGAAACACCCTGTAGACCCTTCCTCAAAAATAATAGATCAAATGTCATTCTGCTAAAACATACCATCCTTGATTTTCAATCCTTATTAAGATGATACTATTTCCCATGTGCAAGTTGAGAGATTAATGCTTATTTGTGATTAAGTCATTAATAAACATTATTTTCAGGACTTTGACTCTATATCGATATGATATATAAAGATTTGACAATAGGGACTTTCCAAGGCCCTTTGTGCACTGTCTAAAGACTCTCAAGTGATTTTCTATTCATCACACATTAGACAGTTACACAGAGGCAACAGGAATAGAGCCAACTCTTCTGGGTGGGTGGCAAGGTTCCCAGTCTGTACTGTAACTCCCCACAATAACAAAATACTGTATACTGTACTGTTATTTCCTCATTTCACCCTCCTCAAAATTTTATTTTATTTTATTTGATACAGGGTCTCACTATGCAGTTCAGGCTTGTAGTGATCCTCCTGTCTCAGCCTCCCCAGTGCTGGGATTATAGGCATGCATGACCACATCTGGTTTTGGGGCCGGCACAGCATGTGGTACTAGGGATCAAACTTGGGTCCTTGCACTTGCCAGACAGGCACTTAGACCACCAAGCTATCACCCCAACCTAAAAGTAACTTATTTCTAAAAATCTAGACACTACCTTACTTTTCAAGAGGGTAAATCACCATGTCACAAATCACCCCATTCCATTGCTTCAGTAACTCAGTTCTACTTTCTTGATGCTATCTTTCCGAATTTGTATCCAGTTCACCCATGGTTCCATATATGCATTATAACTTAGTCACAATAAACAAATACTACCTTTCCAAGTATCAAGTCTGGAAGCCCTGATTTTTTCAGGAAAGCAGCAGCATCTGAAGCCAATACCCTTCCAGTATTTCCTGTATCAACCTGGAAAAGATGCAAACTGTAATCTCAGAACAAAACACAAAACACAGAATTACCACCATTTATCTGTCTTCTGCCTGTGATTTAGGAATTCACTTTTTAAAGAAAAGGAACATGAATCCTTTGATTAAAAGAGCCAAAGGAGTCTGCAGGAAGCCGAATGGGTAAAGCACAAACTAGACAAGATCTTGGCACAATTTGCAAAGTGTTTTTTATCATGGCTACAGCACAAATATGAAAACTAAAGGTCAGAGGATATAAAAGTACATTAGTAGAATCTTCTTCTTTTTTCTGGTCATTTTGAGACAAAGTTACACTGTACAGTTCAGGCTGCTTAGAATTCACTCTGTAGCCCAGGCAGGCCTCAAACTGACAGCAATCCGACTGCCTCACCCTTCCAAATACTACGATCACAGGTGTGCACCTTTGTCAAGATCGATCTTCTAATTTCAAATCTTTATGGCTGTTATTTAAACCCCAACAAACATATGGCAATAGGAGAGAAAAAGAAGCATTCCCTGAAGATCTTTGGCAAACAGGAACCACCACATATTACTCTTGCTTCAGTTTCAGATCATCAGTTGCATTAATATCTACTCTGAGAAACTATAGCACTTTAAAAAATTATTAAAGCAGTATCAACTCCCTGAGGATGTAGCTCAGTGCCACAGCAACTTCCTGGAAAGCACAAAGCCCTGAGTTTGATTCCTGGTACCAAAAAAAAAGAAAAAAATGCAGTATCAACTCTAACACCAGCACTGACTGAATGATAAAACTTTAAGAAACAAGCTTTGAGGCTGTGGAGATAGCTCAGCACTTTAAGTGCTTGCCTAGCAAGTGCAAGGTCAATTCCCAGTTTAAAAAAAAAAAAAGAAGAAGAAGCTTCAAACCAAAACTAAAGAAAACATTATTTTAACTGATGGGGACTTTCCATTAAGACAGATTAAGGTCACCAAGAACAGAAAAATACTTCTCAAATTATGACTCTCAAAAAAAAAAAAAAATTATGACTCTCATTTTTGTAAAGACTTTCTAAAGTTTTGTTTATAAATAATGAAAAGTAGCCAGGCATAATGCATGCCTATAATCTCAGCAATCAGAAGGCTCAGACAGGAGGACTGCTCTGAGTTTGAGGCCTGCTGACTAACAACTTGTCTCAAAAAGAAAAATAAATGCTAAGGTCATGGGAAACAGAACATTATACTAGGGTATTTGCAAAACAGGTATTATTTCTGTTTAGTTCAACAAACAAGTGTACCATAAACATTTCAATATTAGCAAAAAAGCAGAAAAAGAAACCCTTTCTTTCAAAAGCTAAAACATGGGAAAAACCAGGTAAGGTACTAAGCAAAACAAGAATGGCCTAATTTTCAAGTGTGAAGAAGCCCCAACTTCTGATTTTATGAACTGAATGAAATAGTGTTCAATGGTATCTGATTCTCACTGGCCCATCCCAATCCAAAAACAAATACCTTTACTTAATGCCTTTACTTTTTAAAGTCAATATAATTACTACAAAGCTTTATTAGCAATTTATTCTGCTTTTTAAAAGCCGTAACTAGATAAGTAAATTGTATAAAAGAAGGCCATATTTGGCCTATTTATTTATTTATTTATTTTTTGAGACAGGGTGTCATTATGTCATTAGGTTAACCTTGAACTCACTTTGTAACCCAGGCTAGTCTCAAACTCACAATGATCCTCCTGCCTCAACCTCTTGAACACTGGGATTACAATATGTACCACTGCACTCTGATCTTGCCCCCTTTTTTTATCTTTATTTATTTTTAGGTGAAATAATTACTTTTATTTTTTAAAAGAACACAAAATAATAATGAAATAAAACTGATACAGAATTTCACTAAACAATATTAATTCGACAGTATTTGCTATATGGCATAGTGCTGTCTTCAATTTAGCTGTTCAGATTATCAAACATAGGCATGCAAAATAGAGAAAAGAAAAAAGGTTATAAAAAATTAAGAGAAAAAATGAAAAAAGACAAAAAATTAAGCATTACTTTTTTATTTAGACAGAACAAGCTTTTTTTTAAAGTTAGTATTAAAGAACATTGATTTTAGGGGCAAGGGAAATAGCTCAGCAACTTAAGCAGCTGCCTGCCAAGCACAAGGTCCCCATTACTGCCCTCCCTAAAAAAACAACAACACTGATTTTATATGAAGACATTATGTACAAATCCCTCTTCAAAAAGTGACCTACACAGGAGTGGTATCACACTCCTGTAATCCCAAGGCTGAGGCAGGAGGACTGCTGTGAGTTCCAGGCCAATGTGGGCAAGCAAGTGAGTTCAAGGCCAGCCTGAACTGCATAGTAAGACCCTGTATCAAAAAAAAAGGTGGGCTAATATCTGGTTCCGGCCATATAGGTGTTAAGCAAAGTCATTTAGAGCACCAAGTTAAGAACCTTAGCTATCTGTAAAAATTTAACAGAAAATAATTTCTAGCTTATATGCATGGCTGGTAGAAATATGGCAGAGAAAATATCTAAGGTTTGGATATTAGCTTCAAAATAAAGGAACAAATAATAGAAGCTTTAAAAACATACACCCAAGGGCTGGCCAAATAGCTCAGTGGATTAAAGTGCCTGCAAGCAGGAGCAGGGGTCAGGGGTTTGATCTCTGGGCCTGCTGTGCCGGCCACACCCCCATTGTATGCTGAGATAGCAACTGAGACTGGGCATGGTGGCACGAGTTTGTAATCCCAGCTCTTGAGAGGCGTAAACCTTGGGAGTCCAATCTAGTAGTGAGACCCTGAACACCCCGTAGATCCCTCCCTAAAATACAAGGGAAAAAAAAAGCCATAAAGCTGGTGTAGTTATATGCATACTTAATCCCAGCTATTTGTGAGGCAGGCAAACACAGGAGGATCTAGGCTAGTGTAAACAATAAAGCAAGACCCTAGTTTTTAAAAATATAAATATAAATTTAAAATACAACTAGACTCTAAAAAATTTTCAGGCAGAAATTAATTCTCTGGCCTCAGACATTGCTAACAGTATGTGGTTCTAAATTTTCAAGTCAAGACCAAGAAAGCTTAGAATGGTTAATTAATATTTCCTGCAACTATGTAGACAGTCAAGCCAAATATGAAACCAGCTTCTTATATAACCATGATCACAAGAAGGCTTTCAAGAAAAATATCTAATATTTGGAAATGGGGAAGTGAGACTGTCCATACTACCCTCAAGAGATCATCTGACCTACAGAATAAACCTCTGATTAACTTTTTTTTTTTTTCCAAAGTTTTATTGATAAAATAAGGTGTTTTTTTTTTTTTTTTTTTTTTTTTTATTTTGCTCTAAATGCCCTAAGGGGTGGTTTGGCTGGCTGAAGTGTTGTGGGGATCGAACTACAGCAACCTGAGGCTGACAGCTTTGTGGAAGCAGCCACTTAAACAACCGAGCTAAGGCCAGGCCCCCTCTGATTAACTTTGTACTGAAAAAAAAAAACAAAACTATTTTGTACTTCATGAGGATACCAGTTAAATTACAAAAACTAATAGAAATGCAAATGATCCCTATCCATACCAATGCTATCCATACCAATGCAAATGAATTTTGTCTGGTGAAATATGAATCGCTGTAACCCATCTTTCTATTTTTATACGTGACTGGTTCTTGCAATAATCAGTGAATTAAATAAAAATTTTTGATTATTTTCTTCTATGTATGCATGTGGTTCTAGGAATTAAATGGTGGGCTTTGTGCACTCTGAACACATGCTCTGCTATTTAGCTACACCCTCAGCTGCCACACTCATTTTATATTTTTATTTTATTTATTTATTTATTCATTTATTTTTGCGGAATCGGGGACTGAACTCAGGCCCTTGCGCTTGCCAGGGAAGCACTTCTTCCACTGAGCCATCTGCCCAGCGCCCACACTCATTTTAGATTTGTATGAAAGTGATGGTTTTCAGTTTACAAAAATTACACTTTTAGTTAAGTCTTTAAAAGTTCCTATTTGGCTTATAATTTTTTAATGTATAGCTTGCTAACATATTTTCCTTCCTTTTTCTGGAATTTTTTCAAAAGCATGGAGTATTCAAAGTTGGAGGATAAAACACATGAAACTAAAAACAAGATATATTAAATTATTCAGCTAGCTGATATTGTACATGCACATAATACACAGTTGGCCCGACATTTTATGTTCAAATTAGGAAAACAATGAATGAAACAAAACTCTTACCTGTCTATAGTACTTCTCATATACTGGGTTCCCACTTGATAACTAAAATAAACAAATAATAATTATACTTTATCAAGTAACTTAATTACTATATTGTGATAATCAATAGATATTTGATGTATTAATTATTGTAACTGTCCTACTAACCTGTTTTGAAACTGCCTCACTGCTATTTCTCATAAAAATTTTAAAAAAAGGGCCGGAGAGATGGCTCAGTGGGGCCGGGGAGATGGCTCAGTAGAATAAGTGCTTCCCTGGCAAGCACAAGGGCCTGAGTTCAATCCCCGGTTCCACCAAAAAAAAAAAAAAAAGAAAAAAAGAAAAAAGAAAAGAAAAAGAAAAAATTAAAAAAAAATTTTAAAAAGATATTTGAGAAAAAAAGATGAATAACAAAATATCTTTGATTTCAAGAAGCTGGCTTTATCTCTTCATAGAGGGACAAGAAGGAGAATGAATAAAGATAAGTCACACAGATTACAAAGCATCAAGCAGACAAGAAATACAACAAAAATCTTAACTCATCATAACCTCTTTCTCATGCAAATTCTTTTTCCCATCTAACATATAACAAATTAGGAATGAAACGCTTTAGTTAAAGCTAGGTGAGAACCCCAGTATCTCAATTGTTCATTTTTCTCTCAAGGGCTAAAAGTACCTATGAATTCAGTCCAAAAACCACTGCAATAAATAATTGAGGGTTTGATGATATCACTTAGTTGTATAGCATTGGCCTAACACGCACAAAGCTGTAGGTTCAACCCACAAAACTATTAAAAAAAAAGGGGGGGTCAGTAAGATAGCTCAGGGGACTAAGAACCTGCTTAGGCAAGCACAGGGACCAGGGTTCAATTCCTAGCACCATATGCTGTACCAGCCCCACCCTCAGGCACACTGAGGCAGCCAAAGAGTCTGGGTATGGCAGCACACACCTGTAATTCCAGCACTGGGGAGGCTGAAAACAGGAAGATCACTAAGAGTCTGAGCTGCGTAGTAAAGCCCTATACCAAATACATTAAAAAAAAAAAAACCTATATAAAATAAGTCAATATAAGTAAAAATTAAATACATTGTACAAAAGAATGATACTGATGTCATCAGGTGTGAACTGATTGCACACAGGCAGGCAGTGCCATTCGACTCACAACGTAGTCCACAGGGTTCTGTGATCAGCTCACAATAACATCTCAGCTGAAAGGCAGCTTTGGAGTATCCACTTTTGAAGGCGCCAATGTGGCTGTACGTGAATGTTTAAGAATGTTTTGGACCAATAAGGGAATCTGGAAGGTTTCATGGGTGTAAGAACAGATACAAGGCATTCTTTGGAGGAAACGGCGAGGGTAATTTTACACAGAGATAACAGCATGCAAAAAGGTATGCAATTAACAAACAGTTCAGTTAGACCCATAAACAACAAGAAGTTCTGATAGGACATAGGATTGTGACATTTTGTAGATAATTTATGAAGAGCCTTATTTTCCACAGCAAAAGTAAAAAAAATAAAGACAGAAAGGGGGACAAATTCAGGAGTTACTAACTTACTATGAGGTACCCATATGTGAAGAGGAGTAGAAGCAGAACACAGAGAGCTACTTAGTAATTTCATGGTCCAGTTAAGGATCTGGACATAGTGATTGGCAAAAACGGGTATTGTTTGAAAAAAAGTTTTTAAGATAGATTTGGCAGGACTTACTAAGGAAAAAGTCATAGTTAGAAATACACACACATAATTACAACACACATCTATCACAGCATTATTACAGAATACATTTACATACAGTATATCAATATATGTTCTGTGTGTTCTTCTAACTATAAGACTGGCCAGGCACGGTGGCACATGTCTGTAATCCCAGCACTGAGGCTGAGGCAAGAGGTTTATCTCAAGTTTGAGGCCATCCTGGGCAAAACAGTGAGTTCAAGGCCAGCGTGAACTGTGTAGCAAGACTGTCTCAAAAAGAAAAAAAAAGTCTCTTTTTTTTCCCCATTCCACTTCTCCTCCCTTCAAATATATCATGTACAGGTACACATTCTCTATGATGAATATGATCATTATGTCTACTAAAATGTACCAATAAACTGGGTGTGGTAGCACACTCCTGTAATCCCAGATCTTGGGAAGCTGAGGCAGGAGGATTATTGAGAGTTCACGGCCAGCCTGGGCTACACAGTAAATTCAAGACCAGCCTAAACTGCATAGCAAAACCCCGTCTAAACACACACACACACACACACACACACACACACACAATCAATCAATCAATAAATTTAATTTTTTTAAAAGGCATATATTTATAATCCCAGCACTCAGGAAGCAGGAGGATTATTCCAAGTTTGAGACCAGGCTGGGGTACAAAGTAAGTGCAAGGCCAGCCTGAACCTTAGTGAGACTCTGTCTCAAAAAGACCAAAACAAAAACAAGCCATGCCTAGTTTAAAAAAAAAAAAGACCCAGACTGTAATGTGTGTGGATAAGTATACATACCATGATGTTTCTACTTCTCTGAAAAGTCTTAAACAAGATACCCAATCTCAAAGAGGTTAGTTGTCCAAACTTTTAAATAGTGAAGTCAAGACATGATTTCAGGTCTTTCCCACCCAGCATCACATGCTGCTTCCCGTATACCCTTGTTTCCTGCAGTTTACTTGAAGTTTGCTGTTCCAGCACCTCATCTTTCTCATTTTTTAAAAATGAACTATTATTATTTCACTAAAATACAATGAAGCAGAATAGGTTTAGTAAACTTTTTTCTCTCTCCTCACCATATATATAACTTCTGACCAAGATGTCAGCTAGTAGTGCATGTTATCATCACTTGAACAGAACAGAAATCTGAAAGGAACTAGTGATAACTCCATCTTTCTTGTCCTAACTCTTTAGACACTGGAATCTTAGCCCCGTACCCCAAAAAAGCTTTATAAATCCAGTGTAAGCATCTCAGTAGTAACTTTTTTTAAAAAACAGGTCCTTCAAAATTGCTTGCATACTGTTCAGCTGGAAACCTCTAGTTAAAACTTAAAAGTTCAATGAATAAAACTTAAGGTTTTGAAATTCAGCAAAAGATCAATTTTAATTTAATTTGGGGGTGGGTACCAGGAATAGAACTCATTTTAAAAATAAGACATTGAAATGTATACTTCAAAAGCAAAAAAATAAAAAATTAAATGAGATCTCAACACAGATTTAATTTTAAAATTCTACAATTGTATTTGTAATGAATTGTAAGAGCTCTATCTACAGTTTTCCTATTTTTAATGGGATAAAATTTTATTCTGTACTGGAAAGGGTAAAATTACATAAGACCTGAATTTTGCAATACCAAATTTGGAAGAACATGTAAAATAGTCATTAATAGAGATAACTTATTTGACAAGGTCTTATAAAATATCTATCAAAAAGAATAGCTTTGATAAAAGTAAAGAGATACTGCCTATGAAAATACCATAACTGATAAATTTATAAATTTCTACTGAAAAATTTAAAACATTCTCCATTTAGCAAAATTCTTCCTGTACCTATTGGGGACAGCAGCACAAATACAGAGTAAATTGGCAATAAAAAATGCTTCTCTACAGTCAATTATAAAGGTTAATAATTATGAAGTATAAAATACAACTCAAATGTTTTACAATTTTATAAAAATCAAAACTAGTAAAATTGTATTAGAAAATAATTACACCGTTCAGAAAATTAGCAGTGGCTGGGCATGGTGGCCCATATCTGTAATCCCAGCACTCAGGAAGCTGAGACAGGAGGGTTGCTCTGCATTTGAGGCCAGCCTGACCTAACAAAATTAATTCAAGGCCAGTCTAATAGTCTAAACTGCATAGTGAAATCCTGTCTCAAAAAGACAAAAACAAAACAAAACAAAACAAAACTAGTAGGAGTAACACACAGTTAGCTAGGAATCTTTTTTTTAAAAGCATGGTTATTACCCCCAAAAATATATATATTTATGTTTCTTAATATTCAATTACAATGACTATAAAGATTTTTTACATCATAAAAAATGTTTTAGAAAATTTCATTTTTGAAAACAAAATTTGAAAAAAAAAAACAAAATTTGAATGAAACTATTTTACTGATCTATCAATCCAACAAAAACTGGATAATAATCAAAAATAAAAATATTACAAAACATATACAGCTGGGCATGGTGTTAAATACTCATACTATAATATCCATATTCTGTAAAGCTAGGGCAAAAAGATCTCAAGTTTGAGCCCAACCTGGACAATATAGTGACTTAGTGAAACCCTGTCTCAAATTTAAAAAGGATGTAGCTCAGTGTAAAGGCTCTATTAATAATTCAGCAAAAAAAAAAAAGATTTAAAATATTTATAATGCTCCCCTTCATTCTCAAAAATGTTTGAGGAGCCAGAGATATAGAACAGCATCTGCCTGCCAAGCACAAGGTCCTGAGTTTGATTCTTGGTACTCCCCCCCTCAAAAAAAAATTTCAGCTTAAAAAGAAAACCACATTCATCTACTTTTAGACAAGAAAGCAAATGAAATGTTTTCTCCACAAGAATTTTTACTACCCAGGAAAAAAAATTCATAGCACAGTATACCCGGGGTTCTGAGGCTGTCAAAGCATGCAGTACCAGGTATTGAATCTGGGTCTCTGCGCTTGCCAGGCAGGTGCTTAGACCACTGAGATATCTCCCCAGCCCTGTTGTGACAGTGTAAATATTCATAAATGTCAAAAATTTTCCTCAAAATAGTCAACTGCTATTTACCACATAGCCTGACACTAATGTAGTGCTCCAGGGTAAGGTTTGGTTCTATGACTTACCTCGATCAATAAAATGTAAAAAAGTTGTAGTTCTAAGTAGAACCTTTAACAGCTATTTGTTTCTGACAGCTTTTATTCCTTTATCCCTGCTAGCAAAACAGTATGTCATGAACAGAGACTGAGGCTCTATCCTAGACCCTGAAATAAAAAGAACTGCAGACCAGAACCACAGCTAACTCCTTGGAACTCTATAATGAAGGCAATAAATAAACCTTTCTTATTGGAAAGTTAATTTGGCTAGGTGTGGTGG